CTCGAAATCCCAAAACTTTTATCTGAAACATTTTTCCCTAAAATGCACTGTTCAAGAGATATTTGAGGTAATTGATTAAAATGGGACACCCTATAGTATTATTATATCTAGGTATAGATTATTCGCTAGATGGCTTCCGTTTTCTCGTCTTTCTCGTATGTAAAATATAATGTACTACACAGCAAGCACAGTTATATCAATGTTATATAACTGTAATTGAAATAATTATAACAGATAATATTGCATGAAAGTTATTGATATGTTAATGTTATATTATTATTTCCCACTCATAGATGTAACATGTAATATATCTTGTTATATTATGATTATATAGGAATATCAATTAATGTTATATAACTGCAAAATAACTAATGTCCCAGCAAACACGTATATTTTTTTGTTGAATTCCAACGATTTATTCATTAGTATCGTTCAGATAAAAGATAATATATGATTATTTTATCTAAATAATAAAAATAAAATTGGCATTTCATATTTCGTGTCATTTCACTTATTCGTAAAACTCGCATGGTTTCGATCCTGTGTCAGGCGGTCATCCATTTTTACATCATGTTGTTCAATGCTTAACTTCAACGATCGTTCGAAAACTGATGATGCCAATGCGCTGTAACGATATCTTGGTAGATGATATTTATAATATACTCTTATATTATTATATGGATTTAATAGCCTAATGCAAGTATTAAAAATTAATGTGGGCTCAAGTTGTTATAACTTCTGTGTAGAAGCTGACGCACGCCGTGTCAAATTTGCAGAGCGCAAGATGTCGGAAAAGATGCTCGGAAGGCTTCTACATCATCGAGGAAAAAAAAAGAGGAGGCTAATGTGGATCTGGAAGGGATGTTATATGGAGCAGGCATCGCAGATTGAAAGTACATTGCAAATTTCTCGTGTTAAATAAAAAAAAAGATTATCGAAAACTTTAAATATGTTTTTCTTGAATTCACGTTTTTCAAATCGGCGAGCAGCATAACTCAAACAATTTTTACCCGATTGACTTGAAATTTTAAGGACATCTTCTTAAATAGATTCTCTAGTGAAATACGTACGGGTATTACGATTACTTCAAAACATTTTTATTACAAACAAATTTGTGCGAAATTTTTAGCCAAAAAATTAAATTCTTTCTTTGTAGCTCCACCATGTTTGCAAATCATCATATTTTTTAATTTCTATACATACTTCACTAGAGAATTTTATCTAGTTTCTAAAAATTTTTTATTTTTTATTTTAGATGAAACCGTTCAAGAGATCTGCTGCTTGCCGCGAAGGACCAGAAAAATGATTGCGCAGGAGAGGCTGTATACTCGCCATTTCTAATTAAAAAATATTAAAAAAATTAGTTTACACACTTTAATATGTGTACTATAAAACCCTTAAAAGAAATGTTCCGTTTCACTTATTTTTCACCTATAAAAAATCGTTAAAAAGTACGATTATTTTCGGTTTCTACTATGGTGTTACCCCTTAAAGTTATGTTGCCTTAATATTATTGGTGTAACTTAACCAATAAATAACATAATAACAACAGTTTTATAACATATCGCAGTTATAAAGGAAATTAAGTAATCTCAATATTAATAACGTATAACAACAATTATATTACTCCTGTGTTATATCACTCCATATTACTCCTGTGTTATATCACAGTTATGTTCTGTGTTTGCTGGGTAATATGCAGGGTGGCCCACGTAAAGTGTTACAAGCTAGTAACTCTAAACATATTTATCCTATCAAAAAGGATGTATATCAGTTGGACACGGAGCAATTGGACACAGTCCAATCACAAGTCGCTGTTCCAAGGGACCCTACAAATGTCTTTAATCACACGGTGCTGTGATTGGCTGTGTCCAAGTGCACCGCTCCCTATCAAAAAGTTGTTCATGAGGAAGTTTCATATATTTGAGGGGTCTTTCTAACTACGTAAACAAAAATCCACTTCCGTCCCCTCTTGAAGAGGGGCGGGGGGTAACTTTAAAGTTTCAAATAGGACCCCTTATACAATGTTACATATTTGGATTCTACGGGAAAAAGCAAGTAAACTTTGTCTGAAACATTTCTTTGGAAAATGCTCCTATCAAAAGTTATAAACATTTGTACTTTAATGTAGAGTGCATTGAAATTCATGATAAATTAAATAAGATTCATAGTTTTTCTATTTTACACCTTTGGATTATTTTTTATGGGAGTATATTAAAGAGGAAGTCACATCTCAAGAGAGTCACATCTCAA